GCGTTTTGCAAAAAATTCGACGCTCTCGACAAATATCCGACCTAACGGAGGATGCATTCATTTTCACGCTTGGACATGACGTGAAGTGGGAAGAAAAGAGCGAAAGAGCGGAATGCCTCTTATTTCTTATGTGATGATCTCTCGCAGTTGCCAACTTATTTGAAAGCTGATCCTCGTGGAATATATCAAAAGAGACTCAGTTTCATTCGTTTCTTTTAAGTGAATTGAATTAACGCGAGCGTATATTGAAATTTAAAAAATACTCTTTTTCATCGACCAAAGAAGGCGTCAATTTTTTGCGAACGACAATGAAGTTACTTAATCTCAATAAGTATCTCCGTCGATAGGTTGAGGCGAGAAGCTGTTATAGTTAAGATCATATTTACGATATTTTACATGATTGTATATATATTTTAGTATGAGCTTATATCATTGAGCGATCATTCACTTTATGCGAAATTTAAATTACTTTTAAACCATTGGCTATTTAAAAGTAATTATTAATTGTCCTTCTAAATTCTAATTTATTTCATCTGGAATACAAAATACAAATTACAATAAATAATTTTATTGTATTTGTATAGATAGATAATTTTTTTTTAAGCAATGCAAGACAATATATGTACTATTTTCTAGGAATCAAGAATGGACCAGTTCATCGTAAATATTATTAGTAATTTTTTTTTCTTTAATACATGAGAAATTATTTATGTATCTTTTCTCTAAACTAAATTATGTGCTTTTAATTTTACAATTAATCATTTTATTACTTAAATTTTATGTTGATAAATTATGTTAATTTATGTATGTTTTACCATAATATATTGAACAAAATTAATCAACTTTATTATTATACTATTATATTATATAATGTTAACATAATGAAGCATGGTACTTAAGTAAAAGATTCGTAAATAAATATTTTACAATAATTATTAAAAGATATTTATGCTGATAATCTTAATTAAATAAATAGACTTACAAAAGTACATATTAGAATAGAATATTTAGTATTCAAATAATAAAACTAAAATTATTATATAATGATTATATGCAATTATTACATCAAGCAATATATTTTCAAATTTTCTGTATTATCGGGTAGATGCTATGATATAACAAGTATGCATTATTAACTAGGGATTTACTAGATTTATAAGCTTAGGACGTTTATTAATTATTCACTTTAGAGAGTGAAATTTATTTAAGCTAATAATTATCATCGAGCCCTTTTCTATAAAAAAAATTCTTAAAAAATTTACCGAACAAATTATGCGAGAAGACAGAGTTTGTACCTAACTGTCATTAATTTATCATTCTCACGATGTCTCCTCTTAGTTTATGATTAAGCTGCAAGAGCAATAGTGAATAAACTAAAATAAATGAAATTTTGTATCCTTACACTGTAATCAGACATAATCGAACAACAGAGTCATTCCTGCAGTTAAATATTCCATTAAAATGAATTATTATTGACTTTCGCGCTCTCCCGAGCAAAGGCGCAGAAATTCAACTTGCCATACAAATGCTCGCGCTGAAAGAAGAAAAAAGATGTACAAAAGCAAGAGTGGCGCAATGGGATTGATTTCAATTTGCATGAACAGCCTTCTTATCCCTCGTAGAAGGCGCGAGGACGATAAAAATTTCAATTAATTTTACTGCAAATTGCCCGCTACCAATCCGAGTGTCGAGCTCCGCATGCTGTGCACACAGATGTGGGGGAATCCCCTTCGGGACATCGCGCGCAAGTGACAGGAGTTAACGATAGCGATTTATCGCTGAACCGGTTGGTTCCCCTCTCCTCCCCCCTCCCCCCCAGACCTCTCTCTATTTCGCACGCGCGCTCTCTTCTTTTCTCGTTTCTTTTGACGGAGGAGAATCGCGGTTCGCTTTAATTTTGTTGACCCTCGATGCTGGGGATCGATTATGTGTGTACGAAGAATGAGTGGAGTTAAGGGGACGTTATTGCGAGGGAGAGGGTATCGTCTTTCGAATGAAATAGCAAGACGTGCGTTGATTTTATATGGCTGTGCTCACGAGCTTTATGAGACTGAATGCATCTTGGAAATGAGAAATCAGTCCAAACGACTTGTCTGATCAACTGGTCTGCTTGCTAATGCTCTCTTTTGCGATATTTGTAAATTCATGCTACTCCTTTATTCCTGCTATTTTCCCAGCACTCGCAGGATTTCAACGATTTCATAATAAAATTTTAATTATCTACAAATAACAAGCGCCATGACAAGCAACGAACCAGTTAAGATATCGAGCCGATGACTAGCATTTGCTACATGACTATTCGCCCAATAATTTAAATCATTTTATACGACCTTACCACGTTCCTCTTTATATAAACCAACAGTTTAATTATTCTACTCAAGTCTATTAGTGCTTCGCTTGAAAATAAGAAACACTTACATTGCAGGCTTGAACAAGGTTTTCGAATTATAACAAGGAAAGTATCCGGTACGTTGTACCACAAAGTCCAACTGCTTAAATAAGGGACTCGGGCACCCTTTTGCCGATATACCACGAAATTCATTCAGCAGCTGCTTTGCCTCGGCGCATATTAAAATGAAGCGCATTCAGACGGTCTCCCTGCACTTGACTTGTAAATTTTGACAAAGATAGTCATGGGAATGTAATATGGGACTGCCGTGTGCGAGACCGAACCCTGGCTCCTCCAATATAAATGCATCCGTAGGTCAGAGATGTATCGCTTATAACCCAAGATGGCATCTTTAGCAGGCACGCGCTCTAAAGATATGCCACCATTTTGCATGTCCTTAATAAATCGAGGAGATGAATTAGAGAAGATTTCAATGATTGTCAGCATCTGCGTGCATGCTTTCTTTATGGTGCCTTGATAGAAAAAACGGTTCATTACACATCGATTTTGGAAAACGTCCATACATCAGCTAGGTGCTTCTATATTTTAATCGTATATTTTATCGAATCAATGTAAACAATCCATTGAAAAAAAATGCATCTTGTACGACGATGATTAATCGATAATTTTAAACATTTCAGCTCTGCTCATCTGACTCAATATCGACTAAATCGTTTTAATTATGATTAATTATTATCGATTTAATTTAATCCATGAAAAATGCACGTTTATGGCTTTCTTTCAAAATTATCAACATTTTATGAATTGAATTGAATAATATAGATATCTTCATTTTATTATAACAAGGGCCGCGCATCAAAGCATCAACTGATATAGTCAATGGTGGGGATAAACATAATTAAAAACTGTTATAATTAAAGATACTTGAAAATATCAATGTAATTTGGAAATATATCTGAATAATATCTCTTATTGGTTTTCAAAAATCCTTTATGAAATACTTAAATAAATAATATTTAAGTACTTATTTATTTCGTGTAAAATCACTTTGAAATAATAATAATATATTAAAATAGAATAAGAGGTTAATATAATAATTAAAAGATAGAAGAAATAAATATTATTTCAATATTATGATTAATTACATTATTCATATAATAGGAGATATAATAAGAGTATGGCAAACTCGATAATTTTGGGTTATTAATGTCGTTTTAAGGCAGTCAACGCGTGAAAGCTGTAAAAATATTGGCTTACCGTAATATAAATATAAGCATCTCTAAAACACATACACGCTTATAATGTAAATTCGAGATTTCCAATTTGTATAGAAACAAATTGACGATGATCATGATATTAAACTCTTTCGAGAGTGAGAAATTGGAATCAAGAAAAATGGTACTTGAAGTCGCTTCCCGCTAACCCGTGCATTAAATCCATTCTCACTTCATGTAATCCAGTTTCTTTTTTAAATACAACTCGGTTCTTAATACGCTTCATAATAGGATTATGTTTCGAATCTCATTATAAAGTCGTAACAAAATGAAAAGAAAAACGCGAAGAAAAAAATATACAGAAAAATGTTAATTTTTTTCATTAAAAAATATACATATAATATAATAAAAAAATAATAACTTATCATATTGCATTTAATTTATCTTTTAATTACATAATTTTCTTGAAAATATCTTGTTTTATCGTATCAGACATTATAATGTGCTTTGAAAGTCATTAATATTTTTGCAATAGAAAGTACAAAAGAAATTATGGAATAATATTATATCATTCATGCATGCTAAACTGAAAATGTCTATAAATGCTGAAAGATAATAAATAATGTATACATTAAAATTTAATATTGTCAGTTCGATCTAATTAAAAGCAGTCTTTTATTTACTATTGTAATTTAAATTAATAATTTGTTACCATTTCATTTTCTGATTTATTAGGAAATTTTATGTCACTGTGATATAGAAAAGAAACTCATTTATCCGTCATCGTTACGTTTCGTGATTCTGATTTGAAAATAATTTGATGTTAATATAAATGTTAAAAGTAATATTTACAGTTACATTAATTGATCGAGTAACAATAGTGGATTGTTTTGTATGTATAGCTGCTTTGTTTATAGATTTATAAACAAAGATGATAATTCGAGAAAGCTAATATATATAATAGGAGGAAAGGTTGTCGAAGGGAAAATTGGATTATTTCAAGAGACAATACAGAGTAATTTCAATTAAACTCTTATGTATCGTGATTCAATATTACAAAAAAAAACAAAAGAAAAAAAAATGTTTTCAATTTAAATCAAATTTTGGATAAAAGAAAAATTGATATTTATCCCTTATCATTGAAACTTAATCATTTTAAAAATAATTCACAAGTATTAACGTCCATACATTTTTTAATCTTACATTAAACACACGTTTGAATATTTATGTTAATTGTATGCATTCTTGATTGTATTTTCATCCAATTAATGGTGATTTGTACCGAGACAAAAGTTAATATGCAATTTATCTATATATCAATATTCAGTTTTTATTTTGATTGGAGACTCGATTGAATTTCATTATATTCAAGATAAATATTAATAGAGGTAAAATAATTCGAATTTATAATAATAGTAATTGAAAGGTTAATGTTATTCGATAAATGCATGGATTAGAAAACAACCTCACGTCAAAATTATGATATTGATGGTAAACTGATGTAATGGCATTTTTTCATTGTGACGCTTGCTGTTTTATATTAAAATAATCCTTAAGTAGAATTAAAAGCGAGTAATATTAAGTGTGGCAAAATGAAGTAACTACTTTTTTTATAATTTCAATACTGGTGCTCTATAAGCAGAATGCTTCATTAGAGAAGAATGCCATATTATTTAGAGGAGTGTAGTAAATACTCGTGAATTAACTTTGAAATACTAGCTAAAAGGAGATTAGTTATTTATAAAGTCCAGGAAGGGTGTAACCGTCGCAAAAATCCTTGACTCTTGGAAACCTGTGCGAGTTTGAAAATTGCTTACCGAAGACGATGTAAAGAGCGATGCCGCCGATGCCGAGAAGCGCGAGGACGACGACAAGCAGCAAGACGAGTGACTTGGTGCATGCGGCGCCGCTCAAGGGCCGGCTGAAGTGGAGGGTCCAGCCATGTCGGTGCTTCCGGAGCCGCGCCGGATGGGGCGCGGGCTCGTCCCGGACGCTGCGCCTCAGGTTCGCTCGGTTCTCCGAGCTCGGCGAGTTCGCCGACACCGCCGAATACGCCCTCTGCAAGCAGACGATGGAAGAGTTGTGTTAAAGACGACTCCTTTGCTGCCCTTTATGGGCGAGCGGAACGCGGATTCGTTACGACTTGCTTGGCATGCCCGAAATCCTCTGCCTCATTTACGCTCCTTCCGCAATGAAACTCCGCGGGGGTAACGGAATTATCGGCGCTCGATTGGCGGCGCGGATCCAAGCTCGATCACATGGTCGCGCAGAAGGTCGGTAAGGGGCGAGGTCGGGCAGGGGCCGGGTAGTCTTATTAGGATTTTGATATTTCGAGCGTAAAATAAAAGCGTCGGGGGGATGAGGGGAGGCGAGATCTTATGAGATGTGTGCGGGCCTACGCGGAAGGATCAGCGAGTTGAAGCTAAAAGAGAAATAGACGAGCTTTCATTGTGGGACTTTAATTGACAACATTCATCAATCGTTGGTGTAATCTACGAAAGTAATCTCTCAATGCGCTATAATATCATTCAAAAAGTTATACGGACATTTTATTTTTGTCTATAGATAAGGATTATCGATCGTTATATTTACGACATGAGATAAAGTTTAATGGATTTTTATAGCATTTAGCCTTTGAATATAAATATAATTCAAAGACATGTATTTTTGTAAAAACAAATAATAATGTGAAATACTTAATAGGTGCTTGCAATAGCTTTTAATTTTTAATCATATTCGTTTATAATATTATTTATTACATATTTCAAAAGCACAGTAATGTCAAAACTCTTGTAGTTATGAATACCAAACATAATTCTTAAATAAGACACTTTATTTTATAATTAAAAGAAAAAAAATCTACCTATTATTATAGTAAATGAAATGTTGATAAGAATCAGAAGCAAATACCGTGTCCTTTTAAAGTTTATTGATAGGTTTTTTTCGGTTTTGTTTTGGTTTTGTGTTGCTTTTGTTTTTAATAAATAGGTCTACAATTGAAGATTGTATAAATAAACAATTGTAAGAATAATTCTTGGAAAAGCATTTACTTAAAAAACACGTAAATTCTTATATAAATATATGTTTTATGTAGAACAAAGAGTACTTATACCAGTTATAAAATGTCATTTCCGAAAGCAATTTTAAGCTATATAAGCTATTCAACGTCCTTGTAATGTAATGTTTCCTTCTCATAATTATACTTTTACAAAAAAAAATAATTATAAATAATATATAATATGTTTATTTTATTTAAATTATTTGCAAACATGTTCCGCACACGTCGAATATATTTTATTTAGATCTTATGATTATATTTCGTATTTATTCATATGCTTTGTTGCTTCGACGTTTGCTCGGTGTGTCCAATTAAATTATTTTTATGCATACCAGCACTGTTTGTATAAAAAGACTTAAAATAATCTATAATTAAATTCATCAGTTGATAATATAATGAATAACAAAAAATAAATAAATAAGAATTTATATCTTCACGGCATTAATTATGTATACGATATCCTATATATATAGGTACAAATTAATATATATATATTAATTTGTAATATTATGTTAACGTTTAATACCGCTTGGATATTTAAATGCTTATTATACATGTACTGCTGGCTTAAAATATCTAAAGAAATAAAAACATAATATACCATAACGTCACTTTACCTCTTAATGTCTTTTCTAAATATAATTGTTCTAAAAAGGATGTGAAAATGGAACGAATATGAAGCTTCACACATCAAATTTGTTAATTTTTTAGAATCCATTTCGGTAATAAAATAATTTAAAAATACTACAAAATGAAAGATATGTAGTGAATGTTAAATATTCAGTATGTGTGACGACTATGTATAGTAGTAGCACTTTGACCGTTGCTCGTCTAGCAGACAAATTCAGAGTCATTTTGATGGGACATCTCCTTGAATATACAGAGTAAATAGGTTTAAAATAGGTACAATACATTTGTTTATGTGAATTTATTCTTGATTTACTAGAGTTCAGTTAGGTAAGTTTATAGAATGAAAGATATTTGTTGCTTCTACTACTGATCATTAGAACATAATAGGCAGGGTATAGGCGGCTATTTACAATGAAATATAAATATAGAAGAATTGTTACAAAATAATTTAATCAAATATTACTAGCAATCATAAATTCAACGCACTTTTTCATAAATATAGAATGACTAATTTTTTCATTACCATATGATTTAAAACTAACAGCTGAGTCATTTTTAATGTTCGAGGACCCCTTTTTATATAGAAAAGTTATTATAGTATAGTAATGACTTCTTTAGAATTTTTAATTAGAATGTCGTACTTCTTGTTTTGTATATTACGCGGTACAAATAGTCTTTATAAATCTTTATAAAGTGGAAAGTAAAATTGATAAATACAAATGTTGATATATTTTATAGGAAAATATATAAACAAAAATATTGTTTACATAAATTTTAGTGAACAAGTATACATTTTTATTAAATGTCTTATTTCTTTCATACATTGAAAAAGAAGTTTTCAACTACTAATTAATTTTAATTATTACTTTTTATCGTGCAAATCTGCTCATAGAGCACTTAATAATATGTAATGTCTAATATATTTAAATACATTTATTATCAAATTTTAAATCAAATTTAAATCAAGCATTACTATGCACTTAATTATTTAATTAGCATTCATTGCAGATAACAATGTAATTTATAAATAAGAGAAATAATGTACAATTTTTCACAATAAGATATTTTAAATTAATTCAGTTGTAAAATCGACTATTTATTTATTTCAACTTGAAAATTACCTTTATCTCTTGTCAATTTTTATCTTTTAACTTTCGTCAATTGTTATCTATATATCGTTCTCTAAACGATAAATTTCTGCAACATATTTCGAGAGATCATTTAAGTTTTTAAAGAGTATTTTATTACTATTTTAGTCTGTTTCTAAAGAGAATTCCATTATTTTTTGGCTTACACAACCTATATCATGCGAACAACTTGAAACAATGTCAGAAGCTATACATCTTCATTCAGACAATTGCTACGAACAAAGATAAATTATCAAAATTCGTGTCCGCCTGGTTTTCTTTTCATTTGTTTTCGTATGAAAAGAAAAATCACGTAATACAGGACGCATTCATCGCCGTGCTCATAATAAACGAAATTAGCTGCAATTCCGAGAAGAGCAATAATTTCACGCAAGGGGCAGCAAGAGAAAAAGCAAGAGACGAAGCTCTTTATTAATGACATACGAGATAAGGTATAAATAAGCAAAGTGTGACACAGTGCTAGTCGCGGAAAAAAGAAGAGGAGCAGGAAGTCGAGCGTACACAAGTCGCCGGCCATTTGCCAAAAGAAGCCAGGAGGAGACGCGTGTGCGAAGGTGTCGCGACTCTCATTTAGAATATAATGTATCTATGCGTACATTTCTTTTTCTGCTGTTGCCACGATGGCAATGGAACATTTAACAATGAAAACCGTTAATTCTGACAACAATAAGACATTGCGCGCGCATAATTCTTACTTTCCACCTCGAGTACTTTATCTTACACACATTAAATGAATATTTTTGAGAAAATGACCACGTATTTTTTCTCTAGAATTTCACGAAAAGGCGCATAAGCTACGCATAATGAATTCTGTCGTTTTTGAAATGGAATATAAATCTTTCAGAGCTATTATATGGAGACAGGATATTTCACCGACATAATATAGTTTTTCATAAAATTTATATATCAGGATTTATAATTTTTAATTTATTTTATTTGTATAAAGTTTTGTAAAATTATTTATATAAAGGCCTAAATATGATTATATATAAAATAAAAATCTAAAAGCGAATTGAATTTATGCAAAATTTTAACTTTATACAGTAACGTGTACAATAATTTATTATGCAAATATATTATATGAAATAGCCTGTAATGATTTCAGTTATATAAATCAAAGCAAATCATTAAAAAAAAAAATCTTCAACAAATTTTAATTTATCAGATTGTTAAGTTGACGAAAGGAAATAGTTTACAGATAATATTTTAAGGCGTATTAAAATCAATAATGAAAAATTATTGTAAGGCGTTGCTTCATAAATATAACTATGAGATTGAACTATTGCAAATCCTTTCGTTACATATTACCGGAACTTGTTTAAAACTAGCTTAATATTAATTATTAATTATGATGATCACTCCAATGATATTAATATTAAATTATTTGAATAAAAGATCAGTGTAATTATTTCATATATTTTGGAAATTTAATCAAATTAATTATTTTCATAAAATTTACATTTTAAGTGTTATTTGAATATGACTTATACTAATGATTCGTAAGGATATCGTAATGTCATAAAATTAATATTAATAAAATACTTCTTTTTTTTTTTAATAAAACAACAAAAAGATATTAAATCGTGTAACTGCTTTTCTATAATTCAAAAATTTACAAACTAAAAATTGAAAATAATTATTTTTAAATAAGTAGGTGCATTAAAATTGCTTTCAAGTATTAATTCTTTAATTCACCTACTCATTAGCATATTTCATATCAATGATTTTATATAGCAATATATTAATGAAAATATATTATCAAGTTTGATCAGAGTGTAATATATAATATTTGTAAATATATGCTACAAATTACGTTACAAAATATTCAAGATTACGTCAGTTATCGAGCGATATCCTTATGATGTAATACTAATGTAATAAAGAATAGTTCACATTCTATAAGCACTTTTGACCTATTCTTCTCCACAATTAAGGATTAGCAAAAAAACAGCTTCACAAAACCCCTAGGAATTGATCTACAAGAACAAGAATAGTAAAATAAAAGCAACTCATTCATGCGAACACTCAATATAAAGATCTCTATCTTTACACCCGTAGCGACAATCGTAAATATTCATCTACCGCGTGAATTAAATCTGGATCTATAAATGTCCGTGTAATTACTCACAGCTAAAGAAAGAAGACAAAAAACCCAGTCGAGAAATTCCGCCTATAGCACGGCCGTTACGCAAAAGGCAAACAAAGGATTTCCTCTGTGCCAA